AAGTAATTAAACATTAGTTCACAAGCCATACAACTTAAGAGAACATCCATAGTTAACACAAATCATATTAAAAACTAATCTAATTTTTTAGGTGACTTAGTGAATGAGAAATAATGGCTGATAGCAAAATCAGGAGGTGACAGGCAGGGGGAGGGGAGGGGTGGGAGGGTGTGTGAGGGGAGACAGCCTCACACATCCAGACTCCATTTTTCATGAAGAGCCTCAGACGGAGGGTCTGAACCCGGCACAGATACTGCATCCGTTTCTTGACTGGCGCACACTCCGGTGTGATATCACACCGGAGTGTTACAACACCTCACCTCCCTTACATCAAAGGACAGACATCAAAGGGCTAATTAGATTAGACAACAAACGGCAGACATCAAAGGCTAATTAGATTAGACAACAAAGGATCTACTACAAGGGGGAATATCACACCTACATGTTACAACACCTCACCCCCTCACATCAAAGGATATCACACCTATCTGTGATATCACACCTACACGCGATAACACCTCGGACAAAGGGGGGCATTAGCATATCAAAGGGGCTCATTAGCATAAGTAGTAGTAGGTGTGACCTGTCACAGCACCTGTCACTTTTTATGCATACTAATGTGATGGAAAGGGGATATGTATAACTACTAAAGTGTCCCTCAGCATCTAACACAGTGGTTGTGTTGTGAAAACGTGCAGAAAATGCATTTTTATGGAAGTATTCTCTGGATTCATGGGTTTATACAAAGAGACAGCCTCTGTAAGAACCTTTGACTCCAGTATTATTAAAACAGTAAACCAGAATTTTGAACCTTGCTTTATCCAATGTTCACATATCTGTAGGAAATATGCAAATGAGCACCAATCTTCCCCCTCATTTGCATATTTAAACTGTCAAACCGTCAGTATTTAACTGATGAACTTTCATGGTAGTTTATAAATATGTGTTTGGCTGCAGATGTCTACAGTAAGGTCGCGTGTGTTTTGGGATGATTTTGCAGTGATTTGTTTCAGTATTTTTATTGACTGACTGTACAGAGGGTTTGATTGACAGCTGTTGTTGTCGGGGTGACGGTGGAGGAAATGGAGCGGCTGTTTCTTCTTCTGCTGCTTGTAAAATGAAATGTTGTGACATCCTGTCAACACGCTCTCCATTATTCATAAGCTGCAGTATGTTTCCTTAATACAGAGAAATAACAGCTGAGGTGTAATTCACTCTTCCACCTCTAGAGGCCACTGTTGGGACTTTAAACTCCACTTTACATCATTAAGGTGCTTTCTTTCAGAATTTGCCTTTTTTTCAGATTTGAACTTGTTCTTGAAATTTAACTTTTTTGTCAGATTGAATTTGTACTGTTTTTTTACACGTTTCTAATTCATACCTATTAGCCTTGTCTCATGTTAATATCCTAATAATTTGTTCTGCCAAATACAACATGAAGGTACAATACATGCTGCCTGGATCATGTTGATTGGAAACCCTTTGTTGTAAAACGTTTAATTCTAGTCACACAACCTCCAGCAAAGTGACCAGGTTGAACCTAAACTGTTGTCTTGCAAAAATGACATTTATATACTTGTTTTCGCCAAGTATGCTTTGTTAGGTTACGTAATTGTGCAATGAAAGAGATCGTCAGACGTACAAAGAACAGGAATCGTTTTACACTTTGGACCAAGGTTTTCATCTGGATCCTCCTTAATGAGGTTTAGGCAACAATAGCATTTTCCTTAGGGCTGTTTTTTTAGTCAAATGTTCATTCAGTAAACTGAAGCTCAAGTCAAGCATTCCTATTTGTGCACAGCACTGCCTTGTGCTAAATGCTAACATCCTTATAATTACAAAGCTGTTGTTTAGCATGTTCACCATTTTAGTTGTGTAGGTATTTGGTCATTAAATGTTCTTTGTTATAGATATTTCAAACTATATATTTTTTCCTGACATTGCATTAGATCCACGCTGCTAAAAAAAGGTGGCGTTATATTCCTTACAAACAAATCTACTTTTAAGTTATAAGGATATTTATTAAATTAGTTTCTAGGAGAGTGGGTTGAAAAAGTGGTGTATATTCCCACAAATAAGTTTCTGATTTGCTGAATTGGCATATACTGTACGGGGTAGGTAATAAGGTAATGGAGAGGCCATAAATATGGAAAAATGTTTTAGATCGTAGGGTCAAAATATGACAAAGCCTGGTCATAAATGATTGTGAGCAAAATACTGACAGAATTTAGAATTTTTTTTCTGAATTTAGAATTATTTTTTAGAAAGTGTGTGAGTTTGAATTTGTTGCCATGGAAAGTGCATTTTTTACTCCTCAATATGTGTTTGAGTGTGTCTTGCCATGTGTGTGTACCGCAGTGTGTGTCTGTGTGTCTGCGTTTGTAAAGTGTGTATTCCTTTCCTCAGTGTGTCTGTGTTTGTGTTTACTTGCAGTGTGTGTCTGTGAGTGTGTGTTGCCATGTAAAGTGTGTTTTCTTAACAGTTTCGCAGTGTGTGTGTGTGTGTGTTAATGTGTGTACCCGCATTGAGTGTGTCTTGCCATGTATATTTCTGCAGTGTGTGTCTGTGAGTGTGTGTTGGAATGTAAAGTGTGTTTTACATTCACAGTGTGTGTGTGTGTGTGTGTGTGTGTGTGTGTGTGTGTGTGTGTGTGTGTGTCGGGGTGCAGAGTCTAAGGCCCTGACACACCAGGCCGAAATCGGCCGTTTTCGTTAGTCGGACGACGAAGCGTGCCCTGTCGCCCAAACTCAATTTGGTGTGTCCCGCACCGTCGGCCATGACACGCCTTATTTGGCCTTTCATGGTCGGCCACAGGTAGTCGGCCAAAGAAATCACTCTGATTGGCTGTTCAGCTAGCGAATCAGTGCATGAGAAGCGAAACGGAAGTGAGGGACGTAAACAAACGATTTAAGAAGGCACACACACAGACGGCTGATAGCTCCAGTACCGCACAAAACATGTTTTCAATGGACGAGAGTGAAAATGGAACGCACACGCTATTTGTTGTTTGTTTATATCACGCAGTCTGTTCTTCTTCTCTGTCTTCCGGTTGTTGCCTCTTTTGAATGACGAATACACACTACCGCCGCCTGCTGGTAAGGAGAGTTATTGCCACTCACGCATGCGCAGTTCGTACGTGCTCGGCTGAAGTCTTTGCGGTGTGTTCCAGTGCGACACATGGCCAAGACGCAGGAGAACACGGCGACGCAACAGTCGGCGTCGGCGAGTTCTCTGGTGACTGCTTGGTGTGTCAGGGCCTTGAGAGAATTCTGTTTTCTGTCGGCGTCTCTCAGTTTGAAGCCTCAGGGGAGAAGCATAGGAGGGGGAGGGTCTTCATCGATAATTTAACGTGCAACGCTGAAATCTGTCCCCCATGGAGTTACGGGGGGGGGGGGTTAATGGACTGATGGAAAAGCAAGTTCCTGCAAAACACAGCAGAGAGAGGAAAGTTAGGAAGTGTTTGAAGTGGAAAAAGGTCGAGGGATATAGAGGTCAGAATAATAAAATACACTGAAATGGAAAGACCAAATAACACACGCTGCAAACAAATAAACTAAAGAGACCCTATTCTGCATTTTGGGGTTTTCCCTTTCCTGTAGTGTTTTTATATATAGGTGTTATATATCAGTATGTAGTGTCTCTACTTTAAAGAGTCCTCTCCTGCTGATGTTCAGGTGTATATCAGTATGTAGTGTCTCTACTTTAAAGAGTCCTCTCCTGCTGATGTTCAGGTGTATATCAGTATGTAGTGTCTCTACTTATCTCAATGTAAATGCATAATGTGTGCAGGGGTATATACAGATATTCTGATACCCATGAAAACTTTAAGTTGTCTCCCTGTTTCTCTTTGCCAACGGCTGTAATGATCCTGAAGGGGGAGACAAACCCTGTGTGTGTGTGTGTGTGTGTGTGTGTGTGTGTGTGTGTGTGTGTGTGTGTGTGTGTGTGTGTGTGTGTGTGTGTGCGTGTGCGTGTGCGTGTGTGTCCTGGCTTTTGTTAAAGTCCACCTGAGGCTCTGATGGTATTTAGGATTTTACAACTAACGTCTCCTGATGAACGCTGCTGTCGGGCTCGATCAGATGCAGGGAGACGGGAGATTTTGGGGGGGAGGATTCCAGTGATTTTTGCAGAGATGTCTCGTGCTGCAGGAGTTTAATCAAAAGGTTGCCGGTCCCGTCTTGAACAAAGTCGTAGTTGTGACGCTTCAAAGACGATCTTTTTTAGAACACAATTTTATTTTGTGCAATTTCTTTTCATTCTGTGTTTTCCTCTCAGTCAGCATTTACATAGACGTGCAACGATACGTTTCATAATTATCTGCGTTCATTCATCTTCTTAGTATTTATTAGGCTCCCCATTAGCACTAGCATGAGCATTGGCTATTCTTCCTGGAGTCCACACACACACACACACACACACACACACACACACACACACACACACACACACACACACACACACACATACACACACACACACACACACACACACACACACACACACACACACACACACACACACACACACACACACACACACACACACACATACACACACACACACCACACACACACACACACACACACACACACACACACACACACACACACACACACACACACACACACACACACAGTCAAACATACAGACATAACAACTCAAACAAAAACAGCTCATTTCATGAACTTCAGTTTGAAGTGAATCTAAAATGCTCCTCCATTAAATCCATCATGAAGACAAACACATCAGTCGTCCTCAGCCACAGCTCATCTCTGTATCGTGTACATTTACCAGAAAGAAAGTCTGTCCAAATATATAAATATAGATACTTTCAAAGTGTTAAATTTACGTTTGAAAACTAAGATGTTCTCCGGTACGTTTACGAATAATAACTTGGATACAAAATGTAATGATGAAAAGTAACATGCGCGCACATTGTTGTTTTCTTCTTCTTCTCCTCCTCTTCCTCCTCCTCTATATGTCTCTGCATTCATAGGTACAAGGGACTTTTAGTTGTTCTGTTGATCACATCAGGAAGGTGTTTTCTTGCCTAGGCCTGTCACGATAAGAACTGTTTGGAAAGGTGTGTTCAGTTGTGAGAACAGGAGGTTAGGGGAGGAGAGTATCTGACAGAATATAAGTCACCTCACAACATCACATTCCATCAGACTTGAAGCTCCTGCTGGAAGTCAGAAGACCCTCACACAACTCTGCTGATCTACACAACTTCACCAGGTGAGGACTAACAGACAAACACAGATTTATAATAAAAACCTTACTTTTCTGTGTAAAACTACAGCTGCTGGATTAGTGTCTGCAGGGAAATACTGCATTACTAAGCAAAGTTGAGAGTCAGACTCCAAGTGTTATTAACTCTCAACACTCCTACTCCTTAACAGACGTTTAAATCAGTTTCTGAAGTCTGTGTTGTTTCTTCTCAACAGGTTGGAGAAATGGCCTCAAATCTCATGGAGGTTGCTGCTCTGGGACGACCTTTCACCCTAGGGATGCTCTATGATGCTCGGAGTGACAAACTGGTCCCAGGTAAGACTTCACATAGTCACAAAGCTTTCATCATAATCACTGTACAACAACAATTCACCAGGCATAACATGATTTTGTTAAGTTATCTTTTGATTGTCGTCGTGCCATTTTAAATTGAGAGTGTTATGAGAGTTGTTTCTTTGTCTCTTTGTCGTGCATCTGTGCATATCGGGAATATTCTTTCACTGCTTTTGTCCGTAGATTGTATTTTCTATGCATTTATTACACGGCTTAGTTGAATACTTGATTCTGATTGGTCAATAAGAACATTTCAGAGGTTATTGATACTCCATAACAAACCGCTGCTTAGCAAAATCATGAGCTTTGCTGAGGAGGATCAAGGGAGAGAAAGAAAGAGGTTAAAAGACAGAGCGTTGGAAGTCAAATAAATGAACTGAAGCAGACAGACAGGAAGTAAACACTAACAGGAACACGGTATGGGCTCTGTAGTGTTTAACTATTGCCTGCCCAGGGACAACAATGCCTTTCTGGCTCTCTGAGAATAAAGTCAGAATTCTGAGGAAAAGTCAAAATTGTGATATCAAATCCTGAATTCAGAACTTACAGAATGCTAGAGTACAGAAGACCATTTTTTATTTGGGGTCTTTTTTTGTGAATGTACGATTATATTTGTTCTCAGAAAGTCTTTAATCTCAGAACTGGAAAAAGGAAATCACTTTAGGTTAGATCTCCTCTGTACTCTAGATTTCTTAAATATCGAATGCTAGAGTAAAGAAGAGTAAAATGGACACGTGTGAAACATTTTTTGATATCTAACAAAAAGTTCATTTTTCTGTGTTGTGAGATTAAGGTCCTGCCCCATACCCCCCCCCCCCCCCCCCCCATTATCTGAATGTAAGGCATGCACGTGGAAGTGTGTGTGTTTACCTGTGCAATTCAGTGGTTCGTGTGTGTGTGTGTGTGTGTGTGTGTGTGTGTGTGTGTGTGTGTGTGTGTGTGTGTGTGTGTGTGTGTGTTCGCCCTGCAGCTATTCTCCCCTGTCAGGCGGTGCAGACTCAGTCGACTCACATTTATTTATTTATTTTACCACCAACGTCCTCACAAAGTAAAAAGTGGAACGCATCGATGCAGGCTATGTTAATGTTCAACTTTTATTATGACAATTGTTTTCTACTCTGAGCAAAGTTCGTTGTTGTTGTTTCCCAAAAGATAAGATTACAATTACCCCAGATTTAACTGATTTGTTTACGGGAAAAATACTTTAATCTCTGCGATTAAAGTTTTGCATTTACATTAAAAAATCTAAAAATGTAACACTTGAAATCGTACATTTTTGATAAAAACTTGATATTTCTTTGAGATTGAACTGGTGCTTTAACAATAAATACATATGGATATTCTTGGCGATTTAAGTGGTGAATATACAGAAAATCTAAATAAAATGTCCATGGAAAATAATAAAATATGGTCTTATAAAATATATTGGTAAGTTAACCACAAAAAAGAACATTTGAATAAATTCATTTCTGCATTTAAATATGTCGTTTGTGTGAGTGTGTGTGTGTGTGTGTGTGTGTGTGTGTGTGTGTGTGTGTGTCCCAAAATCTCCCGTCTCCCCCCCCGTCTCCCTGCATCTGATCGAGCCTGACAGCAGCGTTCATCAGGAGACGTTAGTTGTAAAATCCTAAATACCATCAGGTGGACTTTAACAAAAGCCAGGACACACACACACACACACACACACACACACACACACACACACACACACACACACACACACACACACACACACACACACACACACACACACACACACACACGCGCGCACGCACACACACACACACACACACACACACACACACACACACACACACACACACACACACACCACACACACACACACACACACACACACACACACACACACACACACACTTTGTTTATGGAAACTCCTGGCAGGATATGAAACTGAAACCTGTAAAGCTTTGAAATTATAAGTTTTATTATAATTTATATAAACAAAGGTTTTTCCCTAAACTGACCCGAAAACTGTTTGCTTTCCAATTTGTTCAGGTCTCACATTGTGGAATGAGGAAACTCTAAAAGTAAAACAAACCCCTCAGCCCAGCAGTTCTTTTGTAGTCTCTGCATCTGACTCCACTCACTCAAAGTCCACTCTGCTGGACATTGAAGCTTCTCTGAAGCTCAGTTTCCTGTGTGGACTGATAGAAGTTGGAGGATCTGCCAAATATTTGAATGATGAGAAGAAATTCAAGAATCAGAGCAGAGTGACCTTGCAGTACAAAGCTACCACCAAGTTCAAGGAGTTGTCAATTGATCATGTGACCCTGGACACCAAACAGATGAAGGTTATTGAGAAGGGCTCAGCGACTCATGTAGTCACAGCCATCACGTATGGGGCAAATGCTTTCTTTGTGTTTGACAGTGAGAAGTTAGAAGCCAGCCAGGTTCAGGAGATAGAGGGCAGCATGCACACTGTGATAAACAAGATTCCTACATGTGATGTTCAGGGGAAAGTTGACATCAAGCTGACTGCTGAAGAGAAAGCCCTGACTAACAACTTCTCCTGCAAATTCCACGGAGACTTCATTCTCAAAAGCAACCCAGCTACCTTTCAAGATGCAGTGCAGACCTACTCACAACTTCCACAGCTACTGGGAACAAAGGGAGAGAATTCGGTCCCAGTGAAGGTCTGGCTGATGCCACTGAAGAGATTAGATCCCAAAGCTGGTGAGCTGATGACAGAGATCAGCGATGGACTAGTGGGGAAAGCCCAAGATGCTCTGGAAGATTTAAAGGAAACACAAATGAGATGCAAAGATTCTCTGGAAGACAAAGTGGTAGAGAGTTTCCCTGTGCTTCACAAAGAGTTGAGCACTTTCCTCAAACTGTGTGGTGATTATAAAACCAACATCCAGCAAGCCATGGCAGAGAAACTTCCCTCCATCCGAGCAGGAAAGGAAGATGAGAGCTCACTGGAAAAAGTCTTTGAAGACGGACCCGAGTCACCCTTCAGCCATGAAGAACTAAACAAGTGGCTGGAAAACAAAGAGAGAGAAGTCAACCTCATCAAGTCCTGTGTCGACACCATGGAGGGAGTAAAGATCGTCCTGAACCAGACCGAGCTGGACAGAGAGGTCCTTGCTTCAGGTGTAGAGGATGTTCTGTGCTTTGTTTTCACCTCCATGCTAAAGGGTGATAGCTACCTTGATGAGATGGCTGACTTCTTGGAATCAACCAAGTTAGGAAGTACCCATGAAGACCAGTGGTACTACTCCGATGATGTTCTGAACACAATGAGAGAAAAAGCCAAAATGTTCCAGGTTGCTTCCAAAGCGCTGAAGAACAACAGCAAATTCCGTTTCCTCATAATGGCCAAAACCAATGAAAACTACAAAGGAGCAACCATCTACCACTACAAGAAAGGCCGGCTGGTCACTGAAGACTTTCAAAAGCCTTCTTCTGTGGAGACCATCACAGACAAGAGAGATCTGATCTGGTGTAAGTCAGCCTTTTTTTGAGTCAAAAATGTGAATTCTCCAGCAGTTTGACCATCAAAGTTACTGATAAGATATTTTGTCATGTTTTCTCCATCAGATGCCTGTGATCTCCACCTGGACCCAAATACTGCCAACGGCTATCTCACTCTGTCTCATGGAAACAAAAAGGCAACGTGTGGAGCATGGCAGGATTATCCTCCTCAGCCAGAGAGGTATGAAACACAGCCACAGGTGTTGTGCAAAGAGGAGTTATCTGGGTGCATTACTGGGAGGTAGAGTGGAGTACCGGTACCAAGGAGTCTGTTTATGCTGCTGTTGCATAAAAGGGAGCTGAGTTTATTTGCACCTGTCCGTTCTTTGAGTTCCTCAGCGAGGTCCCGTTGATCTCGTCTATAATGTCTCCAGGACGGATGAAGTTGTCGGCGTGCGCCTGACCGCCCGGCGTCAGATCGAGGACGAAGACGCGTCCGCTCAGATACCTGAGGGACGGAGACAGCGAGGATAAATATAATATCATATTTAATGGAAATAAAGGTATTTTAAAAGAGAGGGAAATCCAAACCTGAGCACGAGGCCGACCTCCCGACACGGCACCACTTCATACTTCTCACACACCTGGACACACACAATGAAGACATTCTGATGAATCCAAATGTTGATATTTCACGATATGATGTCCTATTTCTCCAGGGATTCCCATGTTTTTTTAAAGCTCTCTCTGGTTGGGAAATGCAGGATAATATTGCAGCAATGGTAGCTTTCTACATGCACCATCTTTACATTTTGTACCACATGTCAAAAAGTCCTGATCATGAAGCCATATCTCAGTGTAAAGCTCACACAGTAATCAGTCACTTAAAACCACATGTCTATTGATAGAGAGCACAGAAACTGCTTTATATATTACAGAAACCACAACAATAATAAAGTGGTATACTAGAATATTCTGCATTATGTTCTGGTGACAAACAACTCATATCAAAAACCTACTTCTATCAGATCACCGCAGGTTTGTGAGTTTATAACGAGATTTCCAGGCGATTCAAATTCAAATTTTTAAAGGTTTGCATCCCTGCTATTTCCTATTTCACACCCCCTCCCCTCATTTGACACATTAAAGGGGGTAAATTAGCACAACAGACCCATTTTTAAGGGTCTGATTTATAGACTACAGGAGGCCAGGTGGGGGCTGCTGTCCGTCACCAGCCCCCCCTCTGACTGAAGGCTCAACACACACACTGTGAGGAAAAACAACACACACACACTCTGTCATCATCCTGCAGGGAAACACACCTCCTCCTGCAACCTGTTCACATTCAAGATCCAACATTCAAAGGTTGTGTCATCATGTGCTCATCAGCTACAGTGTGAAACTCTTCTGACCTGAGATCCTCCATCAATGCAACATATATCATAAAACACAAAAATACAAATAAAAAGTGGTGCAAGAAGTCTGTATACATGTAAACAGAATATGATATGTACAAGAAGAGAATATGAAATTACATAATGTACATTAAGACACAATGAAATGATAACTAGCCTATTTATATATGTCTGTCCACCTCTGCATGGTCCTGGTCACCTGCTACATTTAGCTTATTGTATTTATCTGACATCTTTACTCCTGCATTATCTGCACATTGGTCTCTCAACTAAATCCGGCACTGTTTTTATTCCTACTCTGTTTCTTCTGTCACTATTTTATTATTATTATTAACTTTGTCTGTACAACGTAGCCTGTGCAGGAAATATGCCCAAATCAACAAAAACTGCGAGCTGGCAGGCAAGACGCTCCGCTTCTGAAATGCTTCTGAAACGCGCCTGGTAGGGTATGACGCCGGAGGAGGCCGGATCAAAACCGCGGCGCAGCCGTAACGCGGCGCAGTCGGACCCGGTGGAATCTAGGGGTTACGGCTGCGTCGCGTCAAAATTAGGATTCATCCTAATTTTAGAGGAGCCCTGCGCCGAGACGCTTCTGGGAACGCTTCTGAGCCGTAACGCGCCGCGTGTGGTGGAATAGCACCCATTGACTAGAGTGGCCGCGATTTTTGCGAACGCCGCGGCGCAGCCGTAACGCGGCCGTAACGCGACGCAGACGGACCCGGTGGAAATTAGGGGTTAGAGGAGCCCTGCGCCGAGACGCTTCTGGGACGCTTCTGGGACGCTTCTGGGACGCTTCTGAGCCGTAACGCGCCGCGTGTGGTGGAATAGCACCAGTTGACTAGAGTGGCTGCGATCTCCGTGAGCGCCGCGGCAAATACACACACAATAGTGTGTGTATTGTGATTTCAATACACACACTATTGAAATCCTCTCATATTTGCTACTGAACACATTTAAACTATACAGCGATTCTGCACTGGTAGAAGTCAAACTAGTACCGAGTCCAACAGTGTCAGTTTCCTTAAGAACTTGTGGTAAAAAATATTTGTATCACTCGTCAAATATAGCAGGAATAATGAAGAGCAGCTGATTTGAAAAAACAAACTCGAGAGGCGGCTGAGTGACCGCAGTGCAGAATCGCTGTATAGTTTAATTCTCCTAACAATGTTATCCATTTTAGACATAGGCTTATTATATTTACAGCCCTTAATAACATTCATTTTCTGGGCTCAATATGTGTCTTGGCCGTTTTCGTTGTGATCGCTAAATTCCCCTTGTTTATAATAATCACCGTTCCTTCAGCTGGATACTGTCGTGATTCAAAGTGTGATTTTAGCAAACGAGTGCTTTTGTTTTGAAATCACTTCCGTGAGTTCCGCCCCGCCCCTTGCTCCAATGACCATTAGACCATTTAGTAAGGTAAAAAGCAAAAAGCAAAAAGGCCTCTCAGACGCTCTTCCGTTCACGTGTTTAATAAAGAAAAACAATTGGACGGTAGATACACGGATTACACACACCTGAAAAACATTTTACTGAAAGGTTCTCAGTAGGGAATGTGCATGTGTTTCACCTATGTGTGTGTGAGGGGATTCTTGCTGTAACGGAAGTCATTGTAATGAAACGGAAGTAACAAAGAACAATAGTGCAGTGAGACAGTAGGTGGCGATAATTCTCGTCTACTCTGTTTGGAAGTCGCCATTAAAGAAGAAGAATGAAACAGGAGGTCCAATTCAGCATGGATTTATAGAGAAACAGCACCGCAGCCGTAGGCTGGAGCCTGGACCAAGCAGTCTACAAACTGAGACGGTCTGGTCTATGGAGGTGTTCTTGTTTACATCACCTGACGCAGCTCGTGAGGTGGCCTAGCAACCAGCTAGCAACATGCACAGCTGCAATAAGCTAACAAGCTAACTAAACCGAAATTGAGGCAGAACCTTTCCTTTTTATTTTGACCATTTATTGAAGTGATTGATATTTCAGGCTAAGAGGATAATGGCCAGTTAAATATGGTCGATTAAGCTGTGTACTTCTAGCCAACAGTTATGTTAGCATTAGTTAGTTAACAGTAAGTAAATATAGGAGTAACCGATGTACTCCAGCCTGATCCAAATAAGGCTAACCTACGTCTGTTGCTCCCATGTTTTTAACTGCACAGCTTCCGGTCTACCAAGACCCGACGGACAAAACGTGGCGTATCATATGCACGCAAAACTCGGCCTCAGAACTCAATGGGAATGGTTAGCGTATCACAGGCATCCTCAAAGTCTGGACTCCGGTCCGGATCCGGACCGAACCACAACTGTCTCTGGACTCTGAGCAAATTATACTTTTCATATGTATTATCTGTATTATCTGTGTTATCTGCGAGACATCGCCATAACGCAACGAGTCAAAATTCTCCTCTATGTCCGCTGCATACAGCGCTCTGCATGTCAGACTGTTCCACACTGTCTGTGTGTGTCTGTCAACGCTTTGGACCAATCACATTCAGCATCCCGTCAGCGTTTTTTCCCCGCACGCGGAATGCGGGTGGGAAAAATGCGTGTGTCATCTCTTTCAACCTGTCTGAGTCAGAGCGAGAGTTAACAGCTCATCTAGTTGCATCTGTACTGTAGCTAGTAGCCTAGTTTCACCTACCGGGGTGGCATAGGGTGGCAACTGCCACCCTAAAAATAGGCCTTGCCACCCCAGTTGGCAGCTTTGTTTTGAAAGAAAAGTTGTGGCTCATCTGACATTTATGAGAGAAAGTCTCTCATAAATGAGAGACTTGTGCTTGTGCTGCAATTGAATGCAGCACAAGATGCACGTCTTGTAACCCCTCCCCCGTCCCTGGCGCGAGCATGGAAATATTATTGGCGGCGATTTCATTTGAATGGGACGGCGCAAAACGAGAAGCATTCGGACCCAAGTACTGAAGGAATGAGGTATTTGCGGTCTACAATGACAGAGAAGAGACTGTCAAGTTTGGCTGTACTCAGCATTGAATCAAAACGCACTAAAGCTGTTCATCTTAATACGTCTGTGAGGCGTTTTGCTGAACAAGATGGTAATCGCCGCATTCAGCTGTAATAGGCATGTCAACTTGATGCTCTGCTCACGGATGAGCATACACAACTGTTAAGATGATGACCATACGTGTATATATTTTTTTCTTTGTGGGGGTCTGCCCCCAAAAAACAGTTTTAAGTCCTGAGAAAGTCAAATAAGACGGTGTGTAAAACTACACTGCCCAGCCAAAAAAAAGTAACCACTTTGATTGAACTAGGCCAGTAGGTAAGGGCATTCCACTGGATAATAACTGAAGTATAAAAGAATGCATGACTGAAGTGATGGAGACCATGTTTGAAGGCAAACAAAAAGAGGAAATAACAGGTAAAATCAAGCAAATCCCCCTCTCAGATTCCACAGCAACCAGAAGAACATAAATACTGGCTGGTGATTTGATTCATCAGCTTTGTGATGGAATAGAAAATGCACAGTGCATTTCCTTAGCTGTGGATGAGTCCACTGACACCACTGACAATGCTCAGTTGCTGGTGTTTGTGAGTTTTTATGATGAGGCAAAGGGGGAGTTTGTTGAAGATGTGTTGGGCCTGACGAACCTCAGTGGACACA